AAAAAAAAAAAAAAAAAACTCTTGGGCTCAAGTGATCCTCTTGCTTCAGCTTCCTGAGTAGCTGGGACTACAGGCGCCTGCTACCATACCCAGGTATTTTTTTAGAGATGAGGTCTCACTCTTGCTCAGGCTGGTCTCAAACTTCTGAGCTCAAGCAATCCACCCGCTTTGGCCTCCAAGAGTGCAAGGATTATAAGCATGAACCACCACACCCAGCCTTTGATCATTAGTTTAAGGCAAAGTTTATTTGGTTTTCTTTGTGTTTCATAGTTGCAAAAAATTAAAATTCTATTGCTGTCATATTCCTGTAACCCCAAACTGCTACCCAAGAATTCTATTTATACAATGTCCTCACACATGGCCTTTATTAGTTTTTCAGGAACAGGCTTGGTAGAGTCAATTGGAAGTCTTCAAGAGATTAAAGAACCTAAGTCCGAAGAAGCAATGCTAATCCCAAAGTCCCCTGAGTCTCTTTCCTGTTTACAAAATTCCGAGGCTGGATACATAAATGTGGCTTCTCTGAAAGAGGTACACAACATACAAGAACAAAACCAAAAATCAGAACTATAAAATCACTGGTGTCTAAAACTATACTGATCAAAACTGCTAACTTAAAACTTGGACACAGAGACGGGCCATGACATGGAAAAGAGTTACCATAGAGTTACCATCCCCACACCACATCAACCAGGAGTCTTCAAAATTGCTGATAAATTCATTAAAGCAGTTCTAAAAATTGATTTCTCAAGTTTCTTTAATATTTTCAAATGCCTTGTATTGATCACTATATTGACTACAGTTGAATCCTTTAATTTGATTTCTTTTGAACAGAATATACACATCATTAGTTTAGCATTCTTTCCCATTATCATGGGTATTTTTCTTATTTTTTAAAAAAGTAAAAACAGTACTCTCACAGCAATCTGAAATAAAAATAAATTAAAAGTTTAATCACACTAAAGCAAATATTCTTTATTTAAAAACTCTCCTATAATCCTACAATTTTTTTTTTTTTAACACAGTCTCTCCTGGGCTAAAGTTTTATGGCTTCATTTTAGCTCACAGGAACCTTAAAATCTGGGCTCAAGCAATCTTCTTGATTCAGTCCCCTGAATAGCTGGGACTATAGGTGTGTGCCACCACACAGCTAAATTTTCTACTTTTAATAGAGATGGGGGGCAGTGCCAGTAGCTCAGTGGGTAGGGCGCCAGCCACATACACCGAGGCTGGCGGGTTCCAACCCTCCCCAGGCCAGCTAAACAACAATGACAACTGCAACAACAACAACAGAAAGAAAACAGCCAGGTGTTGTGATGGGCATCTGTAGTCCCAGTTACATGGGAGGCTGAGGCAAGAGAATTGCTTATGCCCAAGAGTTTGAGGTTGCTGTGAGCTGTGATGCCATAGTACTCTACCAAGGGTGACCACTTGAGACTCTGTTTCAGTAAAAAAAAAAAAAAAAAAAGTAGAGATGGGATCTTGCTTTGCTGAGGCTGGTCTCAACCTCCTTACCTTAAGCCATCCTCCTACCTTGGCCTCCCAGAGTGCTGGGATTACACGCATGAGCTATCAACAATTTTTTTTTCTAAAAAATGTAAAGGGTAGATTTTTTTTGTTGCAAGGATAAATTGTATTATGCAGAATAGGGCTTTCAGTGTGTCTGTCACCATGATAGTGTACATTGTACTCAATAGGTAGATTTTTATCCTTTACCACCTTTCTACCCTCCACCCTTATTAGTTTTCAATGTCCGTTACACCACTTTATGACTATATATAGCCCTTGTTTAGCTCCTCCTTAAAAGTGAGAGCATGTATTTGTTTTTCCTTCAATCTTAATGCAACTATTTTCATTTTAGGGTTATTCCCTTTTGCTTCTTATTCAAATACATATATTCTAAATGGTTATTAGCATATTATATTCATTTTCATACTCTGATTTTTAATTTACTATACCACAAAAACATTTTCACTACCCACATGATAGTCTATCATGTTTATGTTCTATAAATTACTTAACTTCCCATTTCATATTTAAGTTGTTTTCACTTTTCACTGTTTAAGATTATGCTGTGGTAAAGGTCTTTTTTTTTGAGACAGAGTCTCACTATGTTGCCCTTCGTTACAGTGCTGTGGCATCACAGCTCACAGCAACCTCAAAATCTTGGGCTTAAGTGATTCTCTTGCCTCAGCCTCCCAAGTAGCTGGGACCATAGGACCGTAGGACCATACCACCTGACTATTTTTTGTTGCAGTTATCATTGTTGGTTAGCTGGCCTGGGCCAGTTTCGAACCCTCCAACTTAGGTGTATGTGGCTGGTGCTGTAACCACTGTGCTACAGGCACCAAGCTGAAGGTCTTTTTTTTTTTTTTTAATGAAATGAACCATTTTTTAATTTTTTTTGTTTATTTTCTGTAATTTTTGGCCAGGGCCAGTTTTGAACACACCACCTCTGGTATATGGGGCCGGCACCCTACTCCTTGAACCTCAGGAACCACCCGAGCTGAAGGTCTATACATGTAGTTCATCTCTTGAATTACTCCAAAAAAAAAATTTTGCAGGGTTGGCCTGAATTAAAGGATATGAACATTAATATGGCTTTGGTAGCTCACTTGTCACATTGCTTTTAAAAAGGGCTGTGCCAAAAATAAGAAAATTTCAGTAGTCAACTTTAATCAACCTCAAACTCCTTTTTTTTTTTTTTTTTTTTTGAGACAGGAGACTCAAGCTGTTCCCCTGGGTAGAGTGCTGTAGCATCACAGCTCACAGCAACCTCCAACTCCTAGGCTCAAGCAAGTCTCCTGCCTCCATCTCCCGAGTAGCTGGGACCACAAGCACCAGCCACAACGCCCGGCTATATTTTTTGGTGCATTGTTGTTTTGCGGGCCCGGGCTGGATTCGAACCCACCACCTTAGATGTATGTGGCTGGCGCCTTAGCCACTTGAGCCACAGGCGCCGAGCCAACCTCCAACTTCTTGAGCCATAAAATGGTAACTATAATAGTGTTTTTCCCATAGGGTTATGAGAGCCCAATGAAATGAAGAATGTAAATTATTTAGTACTTAGCAACTGCTTAATAAACAGTATCTATCATTTATTTTCACAGAGCAATTTCTGGATGTACAATGTTTTTCACAACCTCATCAACATTAGATATTCAATTTTAAAGATTTATTCTATCACTTAGGCTAGAGTGCAGTGGCACAATCATAGCTCACTGTAACCTTGAACTCCTGAGCTCAAGTGATCCCAGTTCTGCTGGGATTACAGGCATGAGCCACCCTTCCCAGCGCTGGAAATAATAGCTATTGTATTGAATGCATGCTCTTATCCTCAGCCTTGCCCAACGTTATCTTCTTTCATTAAACTGGTTAAAGCTATTTGCTGAATGCCTACATTCAAAGTACTATTCATTAGTAGGCACTGCAGCTACAGCGGTGAACAAAACAGACTAGAAGAGTCTCTGCTTTCATGGAGTTCATATGCTATAAGGGAATAAAGTACATGTGTGTGTGGCAGGGAATGAGAGGTGTGGCCAGACCACATAAGATAATTTGGGGAGTGGCATGACAAAAACAAACCAGTGATCTGAGTGACCAAGGGCAACTTTAGATTGGGAACAGTGTTCCCCTGAGGAGGTGACGTCTGGCTGAGCCCAAAACTACAACGAGCATGCCTCCTCCCTCTCCTATTAAAATCTGGAAGAAAAGTATTTTAGATAGAGGTACTGTAACACCTATTTCCAAGGCCCCAAAAAGAGTAGCGATCTCAATCTCGAGGAACAGAAAAGACAGCGTATATACAGTAATCAAGGGTGAGTGTACAAGATGAGGCCAGGTAGGAGGTAGCCAGATTAATGCACTGTAGGACTTAGAATGTAAAGAATTGGATTTTATTCTAAATATGGGAAGCCAAGAATGATTTAAAAGCTTTAGCTGTCTGTGGGGAAGGAATCGATGATAAAACTGGAAGCTTGTGGCATAACGAAACATTCTAATGTCCTGACTTCAAAAAAGGGATAAGTATTTACTGAGCAAGCCGATGTTCCAAATTATTCTAAACGTCGAGGATGAATAAACTATAGAGTTCACCGACTAGTAAGCAGGAATAAATAGCACGTGTGATGGTTTATAAGGCTTAGCTGCAAGAGCCGGTAAATAACCTTGGTTACTGCCAAACGCCCTAGCTGGACTGCACTTAATACAGCTATGCGTGGGGTGCCTATTGACTTTGAACAAAAGGATGCCCAGGATCCCCTTCTCCTTACTGCATTGTCCACAACCCGGAGCCTGACTGCAGCAGCCAGAGGGCTCATCACAGACGGACCAAGCTTCCGGAGGCGGGACCCGGCCTCGCTCGGCTTCTACTGCGCCTGCGCCCGGACGAGCCACACCTCCTCTCTTTTCCCCCGGGCTGCGTTTAGGTTCGCCGGAACTCCGTGCTCCCGCCTTCTGCTTCCGGTTTGGAGCCATGGCGGTGGCAAATTCTAGCCCTGTCAACCCCGTAGTGTTCTTTGATGTCAGCATTGGTGGCCAGGTAAGATCTAGGCGGCACACAGACCCGCGCCGAAGGGGCGCTGTACGAAGCTAGGCAGGCAGAGGACTCGGAAAGACAGAAAATAAAATTGCGCCAGAACCTAACGACCTTCTGGGCGGGGGGGTGGCTGGAAGGAGGAGTCCTGTCCATCCTAGCACCAGGCATCTGGAGAAACTGGGTGGAAAGAAAGGTTAGACTAGGGGGATGGAAGTGGGAGATACCGAGTGGCGCGGGGGGTGGTTTAACCCGTCTTGCGCCCTGCACTGTCTTCGGCCGGGCTTTCTGACTGTCTCTGGCTGATTGCAGGAAGTTGGCCGCATGAAAATCGAGCTCTTTGCAGACGTTGTGCCTAAAACAGCAGAGAACTTTAGGTAAGGAAATGCTCCAGCACTGCTGTATTAGCCGAGCAGAAGCAGGACCCCAGTCAGCCCTGGAATCGTCTGTGTGCCTTTGTCCATCCATTCACTGTCCTGGAGATTTGTTCCTGTGGGTATTGCTCTGTCTGAATGATTACCGTTTTGTTTGTTCCCGTGTTAGTTTATGCTGTTAGTTCGTATGTCTGCGTGTCTGGATATCTGGTTCGAATAGTGGACTTCTTGGCTCCAGTTTCGGTACTCTCCCCTCCTTAGAGATGCTCCCCAGCTTGATATATCATGACTGAATCGTTTACTCTTTTTCCTTTCAGACAATTCTGCACTGGAGAATTCAGGTCAGTTTCAGATGCCTTTGACTTTTTTGCCTACTCTGAGGGATATCCTGGAGCTGTAGTGAGGGTATTGGGAAACCACCCACAGTCCTTGAATGATTGCTGGCGTCATTGTTAGAAGGTAGTACCCCAGGGGTCTATCCTTAGTTCATTTGCCTTCTTTATGTCTCCTCTTGACTATCTCTAGGAGAGTCCCTTTGGTTCCAGTGTGTTGTAACTGGAAAAGCCTGTGATTAGCTGTCATCATGCCAAGTGTCTTTCTTTTTTTAGAAAAGATGGGGTTCCAATAGGATACAAAGGGAGCACCTTCCACAGGTAAGGCTTTTGGGTAAGCCATCCTGGGGGCTTTCAGGAATACTTCCTTGTGGGATAAGGTGCTAAAGAGGAAAATAAAACTAGAGGATAGTTCTTAGATTTTAAGAAGAAATGTTTTTGTGGACTCAGCAACTGACTTGAAGATTTAAATGTTTTAACTCTGCTTATACTTTCCCACTTATTTACTTATTTATTTCTTGAGACAGAGTCTTGCCTTGTTGCCTTGGTAGAGTCCAGTGGCCCAATCGTAGCTCACAACAACCTCAAACTACTGGGCTCAAGTGATCCTCTTGCCTCAGCCTCCCAAGTAGCTGAAACTACAGGCCTGCAACTCAAAATTTGGCTAATTTTTCTTTACTTTTCTTTTTTTTAAGACAGAGTCTCATGCCCTGGGTAAAGTACCATGGCATCATAGCTCAGAGCAACCTTATACTGTTGGGTTCAAGTGATCCTCTTGCCTCACCTCCTGAGTAGCTGGGACTACAGGCACCCACCACAACACCTGGCTATTTTTTTTTTTTTTTTTTTTTTTTTTGAGACAGAGCCTCAAGCTGTCCCCCTGGGCAGAGTGCCATGGCATTACAGCTCACAGCAACCTCCAACTCCTGGGCTCAAGCGAGTCTCCTGCCTCCGCCTCCCAAGTAGCTGGGACCACAGGCGCCCGCCACAACGCCCGGCTATTTTTTGGTTGCAGCCATCATTGTTGTTTGGCGGGTCCGGGCTGGGGATTCGAACCCGCCACCTTAGGTGTACGTGGCTGGCGCCTTAGCCGGTTGAGCTATAGGCGCCGAGCCACACCTGGCTATTTTTAAAGAAAGGTTCTCCGTCTTGCATAGGCTGGTGTCAAACTAATGAGCTTAAACAATCTACCTATCTTGGCTTCCCAGAATGCTAGGATTATAGGCACGAGCTGCTGCTCCTGTCCTAAATTTTCTTTTCTTTTCTTTTCTTTTTTTTTTTTTTTTTTTTAAGAGACAGAGTCTTACTTTGCAGCCCTCGGTAGAGTCTTGTGGTGTCACAGCTCACAGCAGCATCCAGCTCTTGGGCTTAGGCAATTCTCTTGCCTCAGTCTCCCAAGTAGCTGGGACTACAGGCACCACAACAGCAGGCTATATTTTTGTTGCAGTTTGGCCAGGCCAGATTCGAACCCACCACTTTTGGTATACGGGGCCAGCGCCCTGCTCGCTGAGCCACAGGCCCCTCCTGTTTTTGTTTTCGTTTTTTGTTTTTTGTTTTGAGACAGAGTCTCACTTTGTTGCCCTCAGTAGAGTGCTGTGGCTTTTATAGCTCACAGGCACCTCTAACTCTTGGGCTTAAGCAATTCTCTTGCCTCAGCCTCCCAATAGCTGGGACTACAGGCACCTGCCACAACACTTGGTTCATTTATTTATTTATTTATTTATTTAGAAACAGAGTCTTACCCTGTTGCCCTCGGTAGAGTGCCACGGTGTCATAGTCACAGCAACCTCCAACTCTTGGGCTTAGGCAATTCTCTTGCCTCAGCCTCCCAAGTAGCTGGGATTACAGTCGCCTGCCACAATACCTGGCTATTTTTTGTTGCAGTTTGGCTGAGGCTGGGTTTGAACTTGTCACCTTCGGTATATGGGTCCAGCGCCCTACCTATGAAGCCACAGGTGCTGCCCCTGGCCTAAATTTTCTATTTTTAATAGAGATGGGGCCTCACTTTGCTCAGGCTGCTCTGGAACTCCTGACCTCAAGCAATTCTCCTGCCTCAGCCTCCCAGAGTGCTAGGGTTAGCGAAAGAAGCAACCTATCATTTCAGTATCCTGTCTTTTTCATGCCCCCATTTGTCTGACTGTAGATTAAATAAAAATATAGTTGTAGTCCTTAAGTACATATAATATATCCTGCTAGTTGATATTTATAGCTAGTTCCTAAAATGACCATACATGATTGTTTTAGGATAATCATACTCCTTGGGTCTACTGGTAGTGGAGTGTGGGAATGCTTAGCCTAATTTCAATATAGAATCCTCCTTATTGCCTCACATGGTTACATGGTCAATAACAATGTTAGCACATAACTATATCAAGACTTTTAAGCTATGGTGTCTCATTCTTAGCAACGCTCCTGTGAGGTAGTATGTGTTACTGTCTGCATTCTACAAAAGAGGAAACAGAGACTAAGGAAGGTTAAAAATCCTCTCTAGAGGCTCAGTGCCTATTGCTCAGTGGTTAGGGCACTGGCCATATACACCAGGGCTGGTGGGTTTGAACCTGACTCTGGCCTGCTAAAACAAAAAAGATGACTACCAACAACAACAAAAATAGCCAGGCACTGTGGCAGGTACCTGTAGTCTCAGTAACTTGGGAGGCTGAGCCAAGAGAATTACTTAAGCCCAAGAGTTTGAGGTTGCTGTGAGCTATGACGCCATGGCATTCTACCAAGTGCAACATAGTGAGACTGTCTCAAAAAAAAAAAAAAAAAAATCCTCTCTAGAGATAATAGACAAGTTATTGAGCCTTTATATGAATAGCAATCCATTTCACATATACTCTCCGTAGTTTTTTTTTTTTTGAGACAGAGTCTGGTAGAACGCTGTGGCATTCGTAACTCATAAACACCTCAAACTCTTGGGCTTCCAACTACTTGGGACTATAAGTGGCCAGCCACCCACAATGCCTGGCTATTTTTAGAGATGGGGTCTCACTCTGGCTCAGGCAAGTAACGAATCTGTGAGCTCAGGCAATCCACCCGCCTCAGCCTCCTAGAGTGCTAGAATTACAGGCTTGACCCACCATGCCCAGCCTATGTTCTATAGTTCTTTAACACAAAATATACACCAAGTCCTTGACATGCCACCTTCTTTGGTGAGTATTTTATTAATTCATCCTGTAAGCTTAGTTTTAGCTGCTTGTTTATGTTCCTATTCAGCTACTAGATCACACACTGAGACTAACTATAAAATACCATTATTTACAATTGAAACTGTTTTGTATGGTTAATAATCCTCTCAGCCTGATCATGCCAGGAAAGGATAATCATTTTATAAGCCAAAGTAATAAACAGTATACTTTGCAATCACTGTTAATTTGTTACTACAGTGACAAAGTCAATTGCTTTTCTAAACCTTAGAATGAATCTTCTCTCAGGCTTCTTTGCTGTCTGTTCCAGGGTTATAAAGGATTTCATGATTCAGGGTGGTGATTTTGTTAATGTAAGTATTAGTCCTTTCCTATCAAAGACCTATTGGTTTAGTTTTGTTGTTATTGCTGCTCCTGCTATTTTCATTACTGGGTTTCAAGGACCCAGTCTTGAGGCTTAAAAACAAATTTGGGCTCGGCGCCTATAGCTCAACCGGCTAAGGCGCCAGCCACGTACACCTAAGGTGGCGGGTTCGGATCCCCAGCCCGGACCCGCCAAACAACA